TCAAATAATTTGAAACTAGAAGTCAGCAATATTTACCACCATCTTCAAAATCATCTTCTGTTATCCACCAAGGCACTGCATCTTTCTTCTTCATTTCTTTTTTAGTCTGTCTAGGTGTTGTGTTTGAATTTTCAAAAGAATCATCTGAAAGCTGAATCAGATACCAAGTTATTGAATTTTAAAATACATTGTGAATTCGAGAAACCCAGATTTATCACTAAAATGTTTCTATTAGTTCTCTCACAGTTCAACTATCACATAGACGAATAACATGCTTAACAATAATGTATAAATTTCTGTCAACATGTGACCAAAATAACATAAAAATCAAGCATACATCTCTGAGCGTCAATTTTATAATTAAACAAGTAAACTAAGAGAACAACAAAGAAATAAAGAAAACTGATCAAGAAACTTGTTCAGGAAAGGAAAAAAGGATATAATCCTATCTTCTAGATATTCTCTAGCATCCAAGAATAAACCATGGCTGAGCAAAATTATATAGCATCGCTCTCTAGAAGAACACAGAATTCCAAAACAAGGAAGAATTGAGTTTCAGGGGGTAGAAAGGATGACGGAGTTTACTAGAGAAATCAGCATTCTGTTACAGTGATTAATAAACTTTTATTTGCCCTTTTTTATTCTTCCAATCCAAATTTTATGACAATTCTAAATCACCTACTCTAACCACAATACCCTCCTCGCTCTTTGCCAATTAACTTGGTCCCCCTGTTCACTGAGAAAATAAAGTCCTTCGGTCAAACACCACTGCCCTCTTTCCCCTCACCGCACCACTAAACTTACCTGTTAAGGCACTTTCTTTCTCTCTTAGAAGAGACAATTCTTTCCTTTACTCCAAGCAGAACCTACAGAAAGGTTACTTCCCATCTCCCCAGGTTCTTCCTTCCCTGTTTATCCCATTTTATTTCTGTATCTTCACTCCCTTCTCTCTCTACTCTCTTCCTTTCTCTTAGATTATAAACCCACTCAGCACTGCACCTCCAGTGCCTAGCACAGCACCTGGCACAACTGTGGAAGGAAAGCATGAAAACTCAGCTCTACCTTGGAATAAAAAAAAAAGCAAAATAAAAGAAAAAAAGTTCCTTATTCCTACCTCCCTTTTACTCTACCTATTACTCTTCTGTCATATACCAACTGCTTGAGTTCACTGCTCAACTCCTTAAAATCTGGTTCCCATCTCCAACAGTGCTCCCCCAGGCACCACAGGCTTTCTAAATGCCACAAATAAAGTACTACTGCCAGTTATCCTCCCTGATCACATCATGGAATTTGATACTGGTGACCAGCTCTCACTTGTTGAAACTCTCTATCCCTAACTTCAGCAGCATCACTTTCTCCAGGTTATTCTTGGCCAACCTCTGTGGTGACTCCCACCCATCTATGTTAATAGCTTTTGGCTTTTTGCCCATTTCTTCACATAAGACTTCTCCAGGACTACGCTCTTGATCCTTTTCAATTTCATTCTATTTTTTTCTCAGGAAGAAACCAACATTTATTACTTGCCTGGATCTACACTAAGATTATTTTACTTAATCTTTGAACAATCCTACAGAGATTTACTGATGAGAAAACTGAAACCCTGAGAGATTAAACAACTTGCCCAAGTTGCTACTGTTAATAAGCATGGGATTTAAACCTGGGTCTCTGTCTAAACCCGTCCACTTTCCACTATATTATGTAGTGCCCAACTAGAATACTATTATCTGGGTGACCTTCTAACCTTCCAAGACGACAACAAACACACACACATTTCCATCTGCCAAACAAAAAATGTCTCTCTCCTTCAAATGACTTTAAGAGTGTCAATTTTAAAATGTTCAAAAAGAACTCTTTGTCTTCACTGACAACCAGGTAAGAAGAGGGAAGGAGGGGAGAAAAAATATTCTTTATTTCATCTGAGTTTCTGAAATTAGTTGCATCACTTTCCACTTAGCCTCAGAACTTTATTGTTACCTTACAACATTCCATTTCTCTCTCCTCCCCACGTTTTTTCAGTTTATTTATCTGCAACATAGGCATGGGACCACTGACCTTGCAGGGCTATGGCAAAGAGCAGAAAAAGAAATGAAAAATACCCACCCTACTGTCTAATACATAGTAGGTGTTCTCACTTTCAACAGCCTTCCACAGTGCTATCCAGATGACTGTCATTACAAACAGAACAAAGCAAAAAAGCTAGTGCTCGGACAATAAGTGTTGGAAATTGGGACCCTAATAAACTAACACAATGTGGGAATATAAAGTGTCAAAGACACTTTAGAAAATAGCCTGGTAGTTCCTTAAAGGGTAAATATAGAGTTACCTATGTCCCAGCAATTTCACTCCTAGGCAGGTACACAAGAGAAATGAAAACGTACATCCACACAAAAACTCATACATGATTTTCATAGCAGCATTATTCATAATTGCCATAAAGTGAGAAGAACCCAAATGTCCATCAGTTGATAAGTGGAAAAACAAAATGTGGTGTATCTATACAACTCAATATTATTCAGCTATAAAAAGAAATGAAGTATTAATACACGCTACAACAGGCATGAACCTTGAGAACATCATCCTAAGTAAAAGAAGCCAGACCCCAAAGGCCACACACTATACAATTCCAATTCTATGAAATGTCCGTAACAGGCAAATCTTTAGAGACAGAAGTAGATTACTGCTTGCCTAAGGCTGGGGAAGGGAGGAAAAGGAGATGGGAGTAATTGCTAACAGATCAGGGGTTTCTTTCTGGGGTGATAAAAATATTCTAAAATTGATGTGGTGATGGTTACATATCTCTAAAACCACTGAGTACATCTCTATATTGTACACTTTAAATGGGTGAATTATATGGTGTGTGAATTATATCTCAATAAAGCTGTACATAAAAAAAGCTGGTGCCACCACTCTCCTGAAAACAAAGACATGTAAACGATGTCTTTGAACGAACTATTTGAACAATAATTCATCAAAATGACCAAAGACGTTACTAGATTTTAGAGTTATGACTCTAAAATCATGATTTTTATTGTTAAGAATGAAACACTGCCTTACCCAAATCTTTATCATGAGATAAGAGCTTTTATGAGTTGAGGATGGATATGAGAGGGAGGGAGAAAGGGAGACAGGGAGGGAAGGGCAGGGGAGGAAGTGTGTTGAAGTGTGTGTGTGTGTTGGCAGTGGTAAACGAGGGGTAGAAAAAACATTTTCCAAAAGGTCTATACTGCCATTTATTTTTTACAATGAACATACTTCCTATAAACTTAATTTTCAAATGTGCCTGTATTTGAAATAAAAAACTTAACCTTCAAATGGGAAGTGAGACTCATTCTGAGTTTCTATTATATCCTGGCAATTGGTAGATGCTTTTTTTAATCCTTAAAACAATCCTACAAAGTAGGCATTATTTTTCCTATTAAACGATGAAACTGAGGGTTTTTTTCCTACTACACCAAACTTCCTTTTATGAGTAAGAATGGTAGTATAATAGTTTAAAATGTGACTCTCTTGAATGCTCTGTAAGAACCCTTTATGTATATAAATACAGTCATGCATCACTTAATGTTGAGAATATGTTCTGAGAAATGCCTTGTCAGACAATTTCATTGTTGTGAGAACATCAAAGAGTGTATTTACATAAACCTGGATGGTACAGCCTCCTACCACATACCTAGGCTATAGAGTATAGCCTATTGATCCTAGACTACAAACCTCTACAGCATGTTACTATATTGAATACTGTAAGCAACTGTAACACAATGGCAAGTATTTGTGTATCTAAACATATCTAAACATATAAAAGGTACGGTACAGTAAACATGGTATAAAAGATTTTTAAAAAAGGTACACCTACATAGGGCAGCCCCATTATAATCTTATGGGACCACTGTTGTTTATGTGGTGCATCGTTGATGAAAACATCCTCATGCGGTGCATGACTAACTACACATAGAATGTGGTGTAACCATTTAATTTATTCACTCAGCAAATATTTATTAAGCATCTATTAGGTACTGCAGATATAGCAATGAACATGCACAGCCATTGTGACACAGACCATATACATCCTTATAATGGGAAGCAGAAAATAGACCCCCAGGAGAAAAGTAATGAATGTGTTAGTGCCATACAAAGAATTAAATATATGGTATACTGAGAAGTGACTTGGTGATTACTTTTTACTGGATAAACAGAAAAGGCCTCTCTGAGGTAGTGATATGTAACGTAAGATCTTCACCAGCCAAGTGAAGAATAAGGGAAAAGCATTACTGGCAGAGGGAACAGCTAGTGCAAAGTCCCTAAGGTAAAATGAGCTTGAAATGCCTAGGAGAGAAAAAAGACCACTGTAGCATAAATAAAATGGATGAGGGGGAAGAGTGATATAAAGCCAGTGAGGTATACAGAAGCAAAATCATGAAGGGCATTATGAACCATGGTAAGGAATTTGGATTTTATTTTACACGTGATGGGAGACCAGTTGAATTTATACTAGGGAGGAATGGAGTCAGACTTTCGTAACACATGAGTGTGATGAGAGAAATGCTGGGACATTAGTTGGGAACTGCTCTAGTTGCCCAGATGACAGGGTAGTATTGAACTAGCAGGTGGCAGAAAAAAGGGAGAAAGCTAGAGGGATGACAGGTATGTTCTGGTGGCAGCGTTGACCGAGCATGGTGATGGACTAACTTTATCTTTGAGGTGAAAGAGAGAATTAAAGGATGAGGTTTTTGAGACAAATTTACAATACTGTTTTTAAAAATACAAACTTACCTCTTTCATAAACTGTTCAAACTCTTCATCCATCTCTTCTTTGGAATAGTGAGCCATAATCAATAATTTTCACTTCTCAAAATAAACATGCTAAAGTATTTACAACACTGGCAACACTAAATGACAAGAGACATAAATACCTTTTGAGGAAATTCATCACATCACGAAACAACCAAACTTTAAACATTTCTGTTATGATTTAGTATATACGCACAATTATCAACCAGTAAGCTAGTCAAGAGATTCCTAATTCATTAAGTAAACTGACTCGGAAAAGCATCTTTGAGAGTCTGCCTTGTATTCAGGGTCCAGAATCACATTTTCATCTGTTAACATCCAATCCTTACAGGGTGGTCTCTACAGTATTTCCTAAACTTGTATTTGTGTGTCTGTATGTTACTTAATACTTCTCAAACACACACCAGATCCTCCCAGAGAATCTTAAAAATTATAAATTAGCAAATCCAAAGGACCGTTTCTTTCTTGCAAAGCATAGGACAAAGTGTGTGCTGCCGTATCATTCAGCCTGTTATTTTACCAATCCATATTAATAGTTTTGTAAGACAGTTTCCACATATGGGGATGCTTCCAAACATAGACAAATAGTATTTATTAAGACTCAGAATACTTAAAAAATACTTGGTTAATAGAATATACAGATCCGCACTAATTATGTTTCTTTTGAAGCGGGGGGAGGGGGGCGGGGGAGCCAACAAAAAGTATGCACTTAACATCTTAAGTGGAATCCAGTGATTTGCAACGCAACCTCTCCCCTATTCCCTTAATGAACTCAACCTCAGATCTGCAGCAGCTTCCAGACTTTTAACTCCTTAGAAGCAGCTAAAACCCCAGTTTTCTTTCGCAGAGCTGGGAGTGGGGGGTGGGGTTGGAGACCCGGATAATACCTTCCCCGGCCTCAGAGTAACAGCTCCTCCCCTCATTAGCACTTTCGATCAGTTCAGGGTGGGTGCGGTTAAGGTCCTCAGATAATAACAGTGTTGGCAAAGAGATGGAGAAACTGGCCCGAAGGTCTTGGTCAGAGGCAGACTCCACGAAAAGGTTCTCGGCCTGGCGGCGTCCGGGCCCCGAGAAGCGCGGGTTCGGGGACTGGCGGGAAGACACAGACACATTTGCAGTGGGGGCTGGACGTAGAGAAACACCCCGAAAACCAAAGCCCTTGGATTGGGTCTGAGGCACGGCCTAGGCCATGGTGATATGGGTAAGAAGCAAAGATCCAGGTCCGACCTACCTCTGCGTCTGAATTCCGCGCTTTCCCGGAAGGTCTGTGGGGTCCGCCAGTTGCCAGGGTAACAGGCTTTAGCCTCCGGAGTCACATGATCCAGGATGGTCACGTGGCGCGTGGGCCCGGCAGGGCCGCCATTAGTTTCCCAATTCCTTTACAAGACCCGGTTGGAACAATCACCGCTCAGAAGGATCCTCTGGTGAATAAGAGCATCGCTGCTGCACTATTACACCCTCTCTGGCTTTCTCTGCGCTCCTTAGAAAAGTGGGCGGCAGCGAATCGGTTACTGGAGAACCAGAACGGAGGCGTCAAGGGGGTTGTATGCCCCGTCCGTGGCTTCTGGGAAATGTAGTTTAGCTCCTCTAGTCCTTGCATGTCTGCACTCCATCTCGCCTCCGACTGCCTTCCCGGCCCTTGTCATTTGAGCGTTCTGTTTTCCAAGCGGAAGCTTTGAAGAAATTGAATTTATTGGATTTCCTTCACGTGCAAAGCCCTCTGTGGGCGTTGAGAGAGAAACACAAACCTCTGAGAAAGAACTTTATTGTTAGGATAGGGACTCTGTTCCACCACCTAGTGGACAAGGAATTGAAAATGCGCAAACACCAAGATTCTTTTTTTGTTTGTTTTTTTAGAGCTAGGGTTTGCCCAAACTAGAGGGCAGTGGTGTTATCATAGCTCACTGCAACCTTGAACTCGGGGATTCAAGCAATCCTCCTGCCTCAGCCTCCCATAGCTGGGGCTACAGGTACGCACCACCACGCTGGGCCAATTTTTAAGATTTTTTTAGAGATGGTGTCTTGCTATGTTGCTCAAGCTTGTCTTGAACTCCTTTACTCAAGTGGTCCTCCTGTCTGGGCCTCCCAAAGTGGTAGGGTTACAGGTGAGCCAGCTGGTCCAGCCCAAGATTCCTGTTAAGATATCACTACTCATCTTAGAGCATTTCTGTGGTTTCCCGCTACTCCTACTTTTCAAAACCGCATTCTGTAGTGGCATTTTACTACTTTCTTGGATTTTGTTTTCTTTCTTCTTCCTTCCTTCCTTCCTCCTCCTCCTCCTCTTCTTTCTTCTTTGTCACAACATAAGCTGGAATTTCAGAGGACAGCATTTAAGACGGTGAAAGTAAAATCTACAACAGGTGAAGGGTTTGTTGCTGGTAGACATACTTGCTGGTGGACTTATTTCCAGTCTGAACATTTCATTTGACAAGTGTTTATTGCGATCCAAATGTGTACAGTCCAGGAGCTGTGCCCCACAATAAAAATATGAATAATAACAGATATGACTGTGGTAGTTAGTGTACCATGAACCAAGAAAGTTTGGGAGCCTTTCCACCTGAGGCACAATTTGTAAAGTCAAAGTCTTGTTCAATATATAGTTAACACTATAAATTCATAGTCACCAACTTAGACTGGGCATTCAACACTAGCAATCTTACTCACTTCTCTAGTAAACTCTACCCTTATGCTATACAGAGACTATTTCATAACTCCACCCTGCTCAGATTCCAGAATGAGCAACCTTTCCCATCTTGCCTGAGACTTTCTCGATTTTATCACTGAAAGTCTGGAGTCATAGGAACCCTTTTAGTCTCATGCCAACTGGGACAGTTGGTCACCCTTCCCCTTTCTTCCTTCATTGTCCCTTCCCCTGACATCACACATCCACTGTAAACAGATGGCCCGGGCTCATACCTCATTAAAAAAATAGATCCCATGAGCCTGGAATTTCTTCATCATCTTTCCACTGTATCTATAAACTGTGTCTGCATCTGCACTCATCCTAATCTATCATGTGTTGTAATGGAGGAAGTGTACCACCTTCTACCAAAGACTCATCTTCCCACATAGAATCTACAGCCTTAACCCATTCTTCTTCTCACTGATCTTGTTTCACTGGTCATTTCCCCTCTTACTATATCTTCAACTTCTGGCTATTTATAGGATTCTTCCTAACTAACAGAATTGGAACATGCCCTGGAATTCCCATCTAAAATGCCACTTTCAAAACACTCTTCATTCTATATTTCCAGTGATTGGAATTCTCTCTCTCCCTCTCTTAATCCTGCCTGCCAATCTTTTCTGAGAAATTATTTCCACTTTTCTTCTCTTTCATCAGACGTTCTAATCCTTCTAATCCACCCACACCAAGGTACTAAAACCTTTCTTGGTAGTGTCATCAATTTTCTCCACATTGCTAAATCCAGTGCACACGTGCATGCGCACACACACACACACACACACACACACACACACACACACACCCCTACCATCAACTTACTTGATCTGTAATACTATTTGTCACAGTTGTCCACTCTCCCTTTTTTGATTTTTCTTCTACTTTTATGGCCTCTCCTTGGGGTCCTTCACTGTTCCTCCATCTATTCTACTTGACCTCTAAATGTTAGAATTTCTTAGGGCTCATTTCTGGATGCGTATCTTCTCCCTATCTTTTACATTCTTATTATAGGCAGTCTGATCCTCATGGCTTTAAATATCATGTATGTATTTAAAACTCTCAAGTATATGCCTTCAATTCTAACCTCTCTTTTGAACTTTGGGGTCCTATCCAACTTACCCAAACCACATCTCCTCTTGATATCTCACAAGCATCTTTAACTCAGTGGGAGTCTTACTTTACTGCCCTCCTCATACACTGGTTTCTTTCTCTTCCAACACTTCCTATTACACTATGCCGTACCTTCACTCAGTCACCAAGACAGAAATCTAGGAGTTCCCTCTCTCCCATATTTTGTCCATCATTAAGACTTATCTATGCTACCTCCAAAATATGTCTCTACTCTGTTCACTTCTTTACATCTTAATTACTAATGTCCGAGTCCAAGGCATTATTTCCTCTTGCCTGAACTACTTCACTAGCCTCCTAACATGTTTCTCTACTTCTACTCTTGTTCTTGAAAATGTCCAAGATTCCAACTCTGACAAATTGACCTAATGACCCATAATTTTAAATACTGTGTAATACTAACTCTTGTGATAAATGTGTATCTAGCTAAAATGTCAATGAAATGGCAAAATAAATTGGCTACTTCTGTAGTGAAATCATTCTCGATAGGATCAAAGATTTCTACTTTGATAGCTCTTCATAACTGTTACAGGTTTCTCATGTGTTTTTGTATTTCCCGGAATAATATGAAACTTGATTTACATTTGGTGTTTGTCCAGCTCCCCAGTGAGGTTTGCGGGACAAGGTGGGCGGTGAGATTGTACCTCAGCCTTATATTGCATTTTTTCATAGCGAATAGTGCAGTGGTGGGAACTCAGTCAACATTGACAACATAGCTGCAGCCAAGATCTGCAATGTTAAATGGAGTGTAAACCTAGAACATTGTGGGATTGGATTAAGGAGAACTGAATCAGATCTAGTTACACATAGTTCCATTTAACAAAATCCTGTGTCTTTACTATTTTTTCAGAAGGGGGGTTTTCTTCACTGATGTAGGTAGTAAGGAAGAGGAAGACACTGAAGGAATTGTGTTATTCTAGCTGTAAGAAAATTAAATGTAATGATTTATTTTGTTTTGTTTTTCATTTGTCATTGTTATTGCTTACTTGTGCCCATTTGTCCATATCCTGACTACTTTTGATTACTTAAAATTTTTTCTAATTCTTTTACATATAGAGTCTAGTGTTCAAAGGTTCAGCTATTATAATTTTTTCCCAAGAAAAATAAGAAAAATGATTCATAATATTGAGAAATTATACCGTCATCTTTATAAGGATTTAAATGTTTCTGAAATATAGACAGATGTTCTCTCCCTAGGCTATGCACAGCTGCTAGTTTACAATTATATCAT